AAAGGATGCATGGAAGGGAAAGCAGTTGCCTTCGGCGATTAAGGACTCTGTGCTCCAGGCCAGCCTCCTTATAGGGACCATATAAATACTGGTAGAACAAACAACAAAATTTTTTCCAATTTTTTAAATTGTAAAATGTTTGGACCTCCCTGGTGGTCCAGTGGTTAAGACTCCACGCTTCCACTGCTGGGTTCACGAGTTCCATTCCTAGTGGCAGAACTAAGATCCTCCATTCCATATGCCCCCCACTAGGGGGAACTCTTCACAGGAGACTCTTCCACAATCTTCACAACAGGGCTTTCCATTCTCTTAATAATAGATATGTATTATGTTCAAGATCCCCTGGAAAAGGGAATGGCTACCCACTCCAGTATTCTCGAATGGAGAATTCCATGGGCAGAAGAGCCTGGTGGGCCACAGTCCATGGTGTCACAAAGAGTCAGACATGACTGAGTGACTAACACTTTCACTTAATTATATTCAACACTGTAAACCTCTTTTATCATGAGGGTTGGGGAGACAGGATTGATATGTGCTTTGAAGCTAATTATGAAATGATTTTTTTGTCTTTTTTCTTATTATAAAGATAACACATATTGATTTTAAAGGCCCCAAATGATGCAAACCTGAATGTTGTCGAATGTGATACCCCTGATGACCGGGAATGGAGAAAAGATCAGGGTGTCAGAGCTGACAGCACAGGTAGGACACTTGGCAGCAGTTCCACTGGATCTAGATTTGTCATGTCCCCAAATAAGCACACACACATGTATAGTCACAGATGTACAGAAAGAAGAGCTCATCAACACTCCATTTGTTAATCAAACATCTAAAATGCATCCTGAAGACTATACTGCTATTTTCAAATTTCTTCATTAAAAAGAAAAAAAAAATCACTGGGGACTTCCCTGGTGGCTCAGTGGTAAAGAATCTGCCTGATGATCCTGGAGACACAAGTTCAATTCCTGATCCAGGAAAACTCCCACATACCGCAGAGCAACTAAGCCTGTGGGCCACAACTATTGAGCCTGTGCTCTAGAGCCTGGAAGCCACAGATACGGAGTCCATGTGCTGCAGCTATGAAGCCTGGGTGCCTAGAGCCCGTGCTTCCTGACAAGAGAAGCCACCATGCTGAAAAGCCGGCGTGTCACAACTAGTAAGCAAGCCCCCGCTCTTGGCAACTAGAGAAAAGCCTGAGCAGCACCAAAGACCAAGCACAGGCAAAAGTAAATAAATAAGTAAAATTTTAAAAATATATCATTGGATGGGACTTCCCTGGTGGTCCAGTGGCTGGGACTCTGAGCTCCCAATGCAGGGTGCCTGAGTTCGATCCCTGGTCAGGGAACTAGATCCTACATGCTGCAATTGGGGAATCCCGCACTTGGCAACGAAGATCCTGCATGCCTCACCTAGGACCCGGGGCGGTCAAAGAAATAAATATTAAAAAGGAAAAAAATCACTGGAACCACAAAAAATGAAAGCATTGTGAGCCTCTCTTGACCTAGAAAAGCCTCAGTGGCAACAAAGCACTGTCTTTCAATACCTCTCTGCCTCAGAATTGCTCCTGTTGCAAAAACTGCCACTGAAATTGCAAAACATCCTGCTGTAGAGTGGAAAGTCCCACTTCCTACTCGATTCAGTCATAGGTGCCTTAGTCTTAGCTTAGAGGAGTTTCCTGGCCAGTCAGATCAGCGTCAGAGCTCCTAGGAACCGGAAGGATGCTTTGTGGCATTGCACAATTTCATCACGTCTGTGGAAGCTGTGGGAGACTGCCTTCTGGAATCTTGTGCAGGTCCCGGTCCCAGAAAAATCCCAGTTAAAACCCCTCTGGCCCAACCTGAGAATTTCACACATCTGATATTTGTACCATAAAGGTGCATTTGAGTTCATCCATTTTTTTAAGGGAAGATGTTGGGTTTGGGTCTTATTTTCTCACCAGGATCCAGAAAACTGGATGTTATCAGTTGTTAAACCCCAAACACTGAATAATCTGTAAAATACAAAGCACATGGACCATCCGGACAACAAAATAAATTCAACCAATCAGAACTCAAGGAAGCCTTGATTCCAGGTTGGTCATACTTGGGGCTGTTTGTTCAGCCAGACATCAGAATGCTGTCACTGACCTGCTGGAATGGTCAGCATGGCCCATTTTGAGCCTCATTGGTCAGCCGAAAAGGTGACATCCAGGGTTAGTGATGAACAGTAAAATAAAGTATCAGTATTGGAGGGAGACAGTATTACAAAGTGGTTAATAGAGTGAGTTTGAACCCTGACTCTGGGGCAGGTCTCTAATCCACTAATCCCAGCTGTAAATGTGGGTGATGAATCCTGCTCTGAAGGGATGCTGCAGAGATTTTAGAGAACAATGGATATAAAGCACAGAGTTTTTTTTTTTAAAAAAAGCACAGAGTAAGGATCATTCAGGGATAACTATCACCAACAAAACATTTGGAAAAAATATCTGTAAGCCAAAAATTTCATGACGAAGACAGCAAGTTTCAATCAGGATATGGCACCATTTGCCAACTCAGTGATAGAAATGCCACTATTTTGCAACTACCACTCTAGCAACTGATTTAGGAAGGGATCATCAATGAAGGCTAACACCATGGGGTGAAAGACTGAGAGTGCGAGACCTTTCCACACGCCCAGGTTACATGTTAATAACAAAGAAAAAAAAATGACCTTTTACAATGGAGAGATCTCAAGGATAAGTAGGATATATCCTCAATCTAATAATGAGGAAACAATCACACAAATCTACACTGAGGGACATTGTGCTTGGAACAGACTTTTCAAAAACATTAATGTCTTGAAAGGAAGAATTTCAAAAGGTGAGGGGTGGGTTTCCCCAGTGGCTCAGTGGATGAGAATCCATCTGCCAGTACAGGAGTCACAGACTCAACCCCTGGCCGGGAAGATCCCACGTACTGCAGAGCAGCTGACCCCACGTGCTGCAACTGCTGAAGCCTGAGCACCCTGGAGCCCATGCGCTGCAGCAAGAGAAGCCACTGCAATGGGAAACCTGTGCCATAACCAGAGAGTAGCCCCTGCTCTCTGCAGCTGGACAAAAGCCCACACTCAGCAATAAGGATCCAGCACAGCCAAAAATAAACAATAACTAAACTAATTTAAAGGTGAGGGGAGAAAATTCCCTGGTGGTTCAGTGATTGAGACTCTGCTCCCAGTGCAGGAGGCACAGGACTGATCCCTGGTCAGTGAACTAAGATCCCGAATGCCGCACAGCAAGGCCAAAAACAAAATTAATAACAAAAATTTTTAAAATAAAAGGTGGGGGGATGTGAAAGTGTTCTAGATAAAAGGAGACTACAATGATATGACAACTAAAAGCAATGCATGATCTCCGATTGGATCCTAGATTGGAAAAAAAATTTTTTTTTAATTAGCTATCAAAGACATTATAAGGATAACCGGGGCATTTGATTACAGACTGGTTGTAGTATTGTAACAATATTAGATTCCCTGAGTGTGATAATAGTATTGTGATTATTTAAAATAATATCCTTGGGGAAAAAAATATATATCCTTGGGAATTCCCTGGCGGTCCAGTGGTTGGGACTTGGTGCTTTCACTGCTGTGGCCCAGGTTCAATCTCCGGTCGGGGAATTTAGATTCCATTCCACAAGCCCTGAGGCGTGGCCATAAATAAATACATAAGTAATTATCCTCATATTCTTGTTCTTAGCATTTAGGATGGTCAGGGTATTTGGAATAATACCTGATATGTTTTCAACTTACTACTAAATGCTTCAAAAAAGAAAAAACAGAAGTGTGCACAGAGGGAGAGAATCACCAAACATAATATGTAAACAACTGATGAACAGGGGTTGAGAGTATATACGTGTTCATTGTACTATGCCCTTAACTTTTCTGTGGATTTGAAATTTTTCAAAAACAAAATTGAGGATATAAATCATTGTAGCAGGAAGAGCAGTTAAGAGAGGAAGAAGTCACTTCGCCCATACCACCTCCATTAGCTTCAGAGCCATGGCTGGGGTCCCACACTGGGCTGTAAGCCCTAAGGACACATTTTTCACCCTTGTTTCTCCAGCATCCTGGTCCAGAACATGTGTTCAGTAACCGTACATGTATGACACCCTCCCTCCGGGGTCTGTTCCTGGGAAGTCATGGCAGATTCAACGCTGGGACAAACGAGTCAGGATGGTGGTCCCAGGCGTGGCATTCGTAGGCCTTTATGTTGCTGGAAGAACCAGACAACTGGAACTACATCCACAGGAGTGATCCCAGGGCTTTTCTCCTGGCGTGCCTCCAGACCTCACCTGTCTCCTCCGGCAGGGAAGGGCAGAGCTTGCAGGGCTGTATCTGCTGCTCCCCATCCTCCTGCCATTGGCTCCAGAGGGTCAATAAAACCCCAAGAGTCTGGAGGAGAGAAGCTGACCAGAGGGACTGACCCTCATCGTGATTCTCTCCAGCACAGGGCCAGGGACTCTGTTCCCCCCACTCCCACTCCCACCTTCCTGGGAGGAAGGAGGGAAGCATCTGAGAGGCTTCCAAAGATCAAGAATCTGGAATCCAATCCCAGGCCCTCCCTCAAAGACTAACCTACCACTCCGAAGTGCAGCCTGGGTCAGCGAGAGCTGGCATGCAGAACCACCATGTAGCTGACAAGGCATTGAGCCCTCCTACCTGGAAAAGCCTCTGATTCTTTGAGGAAGAGGATGCAAGCCAGCAATGACACAGTAACAGCCTTAGTCTCAGTTCCCACCAAAACACAGAGCATTTCCTGTGCCTTTTCCGTTATTTCACAAGCTGCACCTTCTACTCTCTGGGCACCAAGACAGACAGCAGTTTTTTCCCTCAGAAGCAGGACGACTGCCTCCAGTCTCTTCTGGTCAACACCATGGCCAGGACCCGGAGTGACCATCTACTCTACTCCCTGGAAGAGCTTTTGCCCTATGACTTCGAGAAGTTCAAGTTCAAGCTAACAGACAGCAGTTTTTTCCCTCAGAAGCAGGACGACTGCCTCCAGTCTCTTCTGGTCAACACCATGGCCAGGACCCGGAGTGACCATCTACTCTACTCCCTGGAAGAGCTTTTGCCCTATGACTTCGAAAAGTTCAAGTTCAAGCTGCAGAACACCAGCCTGGAGAAGGAGCACACCCGGATCCCCCGGGGCCAACTGCAGACAGCTGAGCCGGTGAAGCTGGCCTCTCTGCTGGTCAACCACTACGGGGAGGAATATGCGGTGCAGCTGACCCTGCAGGTCCTGAGGGCCATCAACCAGCACCTCCTGGCAGAGGAGCTTCACCGGGTGATCAGCCCAGGTAAGCAGCCCCAAGCACCCTCCTCTCTCAGTGCAGCTGCTGGCAGTTCGTGGAGTCGGGTGGAAGGTACAAGAGGGAACTTGTGTTCAGACCAGTGCATACTGACTTGGGGGTCAGGAGTCCCAGGTCTGCGACAACTCCTGTGACTTCTTCAGCCGATCAAGTTCTGTCCCCTTCTCTGGTCTTTGCAGCTGGAGCAAAGCTAAGGCTCCCAGTGGCTTTAAAAACAAACGAACAAACCCAGGAGGCTGAGATTCTGATTATGAGGCCAGATCAGAAGAGGCGGGGGCTGGGTGCTTGCTGGTAGAGTTCTTCACTTCATTTGTCATTAACACCTATAGATGAGTATCTTCGGTCAAGCAAGAAACTAACCACTCCTATCAACTGGGTTGATGGGTGATATTGTTATTTCTTTTCAGTTTTGAGTTCTCCTCTTAACACATGTCACAAAAGTATTCTAAAATTCTTAAAAGGGCTTTCTCCTTCCTTCCCTTTCCCTCGTTATTTCTCTTTCATCTTTTCTTTCTTTCCTCTTTTCCTTCCTTCTTTGTCTACCCCTTTGCTGTCACTTTCTGATTTTATTACACTGTGATCAAAGAATGCGGTCTATTGGACTTCTGCTTTTCTTTTCTTTTCTTTTTTTTTGAGATTTGGTGGGGGCAGGGGCACTACTCTGGGACTAGTTTAAAAAACTATTCTATGATGTCTAAAATTTTCTTCTATTTCTAGATTTTAAGACTATATCAGGAATGCTTTTCATGTCCTTCTATGAGGTAGAAGAGTTTACATAACAAAATTTCTCTGCTCTTTGAAAGAGTGATAAAGCTAAACTGTAATCTGAACCTGGTATAATTTAATGAGGATAATTTTTAAATTAATTTTTTTGTATTTTTAAACTTGGTTATGAGCTTCTTCAGGGTTTTTCACAAGTTCCTGAGGCAGTTTTTGTAAAATATGTTTTCCTGGAAAGCCAACAACAAAGTGTTTTAAGCAATCTTAATTTTACTATGGGCTTTTTCAAACCAAAAATTAAGGTGCTAATTATAGGATATTTTCTTTAGTAGTGGTTTTCAAATTGTATCCCAGGAAGACATTTCAGGGATTCTTTAGAAAGTTGGCAAATACTTGATTCAAAATTTATGAATTGTTTAATTTACAAAACTAACAAATTCATATTAAAATGTGTCATTAACAACATTTTAAAATATTGGAGGCCATCAGTGTTGGGGTCCAGCCCCAGGGGATCCAGGAATACCCAAGGGATGAGTGGTGTTGGCGAGGAAGAAGACAGACACACACAGAAGGTTGCGTAGAAGAGGTAGCCTTTTTTTAATTTTTAGGACAGCTCAGTTTTTATAGACTGAACATTACCTCCCCCTTAAGTCACCACATATTACATCAGATATTGGTTTCGTGCTCCTGTCAATATTTTTCTTTCCCATGTTTCTCCCCTATGCATTCATCTAGAACATTTCCGATTACAGGGTTTTTTCTTAAATGCCCTGTACATAGTCTTCTTGCCTCAATGGCCTAACATTTTCATTCTAACAAAACAATGTTCTACAAATCTCAGATATAGTATAAATTCTTTGGAAAATAAAACAATACATGGGAAGGGTCACAGTAACATGTTTGACATTTCTGAGAATAGTACCATGTGAAAACCCTGATATTTTTCTTTACCTGAAACCACAGAATCTCAATTTACAATGATTAACTATTAAACAGCAAAAACATCTCTAAAGCAGCAAAACACCTCTATTAATAGTGAGATAATGGCAGTGAAGCTGGTAAATATAAATCTTCTATTGAAATCCTATGTACCCCATTTTCTAATTCTACAAAAATACCGGTAATATTCTATGTTGTTTAAAGAAAGGGAAACAATGGACAAATAGCAGCAAGGAAATAGCAATAATGAAAACCCTCTCAACCAAGGAGCAAGTAAACTAAAGCAGTATATCTACTTCTAAATCTAAATGCCTCTACTCTTTTCTATTCTAGTACATTATAATCTTTTAAGCAAGCAGCCAAACTATGCCTGTGGCCTTTTCTTCTTTAACTTGATGTTTATGGTCATGTCTTGAGCCAGAGCAATCATGAGCATTTCCAAAAAGGCTTGGACTTTTTCCAGGGAGGCCTTATTACTATATATTATATTTCCAAAAATTAACAGAAAGCCCAACAACAGTAAGACAGAAAGAGGAAAGAGACATATCAGGCCCTCGGGACAACCCCGAGGGGAAGGGCTGCCTTGGAGGTTCCTCTCTCATCCAGTGACCTTGTCACGGTCTGGGTACGTCCTGGTGATTCCCGAAGGGACATGTTAGGCCCCTGGGGCAGCCCCATGTGAGGAAGAGCTGCCTTGCAGGTTCCTCTTGTCACGGACTGGGCACATCCCGGCGGTTCCCGACACATCAGTGTGATAGTTCATGCTATACTTGAACTCCTTTTTATGGAGACCTTGAAATTCAGCCCTTTCTGTCTAAGTAAATGTTACCCTGAAATTTCCAGGCAAACTTGTTTTTTAAACTGTTTACACTGAACTGAATCAGTCAGGATTTCCATTTCATAAAACCAAAGTTATAGCAAAAAATTAGCTTCTAAAGTTTTAACTGTTCCTCATGACCCTTGATTTCAAACTTTTGCACCTATTTTTATTGACTGATAACTGAGTTTTGTAGATTTGTAAGTCACACACAAAAGTATACCAATTATTGTATACCAATAAACTAGGGTTTTCGCTTATATGTTAAGAATGCTATGTAAGACCTTATGTTGGAAACAACTTCTCCTGCCTAAAAAAGTTTGATAAGTACTACTTCAGAAATAAGACAGCAGATAATGAATATGATCTTATTTAATGCTAATTGACTGCTGTTGTCTAGAATGTCCTGAACTTCCCTAATTTCTGAGGGGGTTCTCTCTTCTCTCCCTTTACCTAAATCTTGACTCTGAGCACCAGGCATTCCCATGCCTTTTCATCTCATTGTCTTTTCAGAGTGTTGGATACAAGAAAGTGACACAGACAGCTCAGCAACGTCAGGTTCCTCTGGGGAGATGAAGCCCAAGAGCCTAAAGACCTCAGATGGTCTGGAAGGTGACAAGCAGCGACAAAGTGCTGATGGGGCTGGCTGCCCACCCTCCAGCCAGCCTGAGGCTGGCAGGGGGCCCCAGAAAAAGCCTCTGGGCAAGCAGCGAGATCAGAAAGGCTCTGAGGGCCTGGAGGTGCAGGGCAAGCTGGGGGCCAGGAACACGACTCTGTCTTCCAAGAGAAGCCCCGTCCTCCCCAAGGTGCCACGGGAGAAGGAGAAAGGGAGCTATCCAGTTGTCAGGCTGCGGAGGAATGCCAGCTCTGCAGGAAGGCTCCAGGGACTCACCAGCGGGTCATTCGCTGGGTCCCCAGGAAGGAGAGAAACAAAGACATCAGAAGTATGTTTACCTTCAGGAAAGAAGCGACCCAAAAGTCTTGAACTTACCATTTCTCCAGAAGAGACAGGACCCCTCAATCCAGAAACTCTTCTGCTTCAGGAGAAAATGAACACTGAGAATCCAACCTCAGCAACCACTGCCAGCGAAGTGGCCACTCTGAAAACAGGGCCGACCGCGACTCTGGAGAAGGGCTCCAGGAATCCAGAGCATGCCATGACCCTGGAGAGGACAGCACTCAGGAATACACCTTTCAGTGTACCGCTGGCTGGAAAGACGATGATTGGGGAGCATCTAGAACCCACAGCTCCTGCAGAGAGGAGTGGAACTGGGGCTCTGAAGGCCTCCAGTGTGCCCCATGAGCCTTCAGATCCAGAAGTCTCTCCGTCTTCAGGTAAGAAAGGACCTCAGAGTCCAGAAGACCTGGTATCCTTAGGAATGATGACTGGTGCAGGTTTTCCCCTGTGTGTGCACAGTCAACTCTTTGTGACCCTGTGGACTGTAGCTCACCAGACTCCTCTGTCCATGGAATTTCCCAGACAAGAATACTGGAGTGGGTGGCCATTTCCTACTCCAGGGCATCTTCCCAATCCAGGGGTCAAACTTGTGTCTCTTTGTGTTTCCTGCGCTGGTAGACAAATTCTTTGCCACTGCACCACCTGGGAAGATGCACAAGCCTGCTTTTATCTCTACTTTATCCATTTCACTTGACCCTTGGGTCCACCTTGAGGGCCTCAATCCTTTGAAAATCTGATTGCAGGCTCTGAATCCTGAAAAAAGGCGTATCTGCACATCTTCACAAAATGTTGCAGTGTTGCACACATTTCAGCCAGTTAGCTCTTAGACACTTCTTTAGAATCCCCAAGGGCTTCTGAACCTCAGGTTGCTCATCTGGGAAAGACCAGGTAAATATCACCTTCTTATAATACTCTATGGAAGTATGTCAAGGGGCTGAGATTCTGCCAGTCTGCCTCTCTGAGCAGAGAGGAAGCTGGTGGCCAAAATCCTAGGTCTCTTTTACTAAAGAGGCAGAATTTAGGATTATGATGGGTTGTAAATGACAGAAACACCAAAGTTAACAACTGAAACAAGACAGACATTTGTTCCCCTTTCACAAAAATGACACACATAGTCTGGGGTGAATGTGGTATCCTCTGGCTAGGAACCCCAGCTCCTGCTGCTTTTCTGCTCCACAGAGTTTGAAGCTCATGGTAGTATCCTCATTCCAGGCAACAGGATGGAGGGACAAAAGAGAATGGTATCACTTAGGGAAGATTTTCAGAAGCTTCTAGATTCTGCCCATGATGCCTCTGTTTACATCCTCTTGGCCAGAATGTACAGACATACCTCCGCAATAATGTGGGTTTTGTTCCAGACCACTGCAATAATGCAAATATTGCAGAAAGCTAGTCACAAGAAAGTTTGGTTTTCCAGTACATATGTTTACACTATATTGTAGTCTGTATTAAGTGTACAATTATGTCTAAAAAAACAATGAATATACCTTTTATTTTTGTCCTCACTGTGTGGCTTGTGGGATCTCCATTCCTCCACCAGGGACTGAACCTGGGCCGTGTCAGTGAAAGGGTTGAATCTAACCACCAGACCACCAGGGAACATCCACACCTTAATTTAAAAATACTTTATTGCTAAAGAACATTCACCATCATCTGGCAGCACAAGGATGTCACAAACCTTTATTTTGTAAAAAATGAAGTGTCCCAATAAAGGGAAGTGCAATGAAAGGAGGTGTGTCTGGAGTCACATGACCACACCTAACTGCTAGGGAGACTGGGAAATGTAGTTTTGGGGGAGCAGGGGTGGGGAAGCAGTCATATGGACCGCAAAAAATGTCATCATAAGGGAAGGGGGAAACTGTCACTGGGGAGCTCAAAGTCTCATTTACAGATGTGATATGAGTTCCTGGGACCCTGAGAGAGGAGGAGGTGGCAGGGGACTCATGGATTGAGTGTGTTTCTATTTCCTCTTGTGTCTCCTGTTATTTCTGCTTTATGAAGCCCTGCTGGTCTTGGAACAGAGCTGGTCGTCATCACAGTGGGTTACACCCTTCAGCCTTGTCAAGTTACTTCTTTACTTTCACATCATGTGTTCTGAATCTGTATGTGAGCAGTGGCTCATTCGTTCCTTCATTCAACACACACTTCCCAAATGTTTACCAGGTGCCAGGGGTTCTGCTAGGGTCTGTGGGTTCAGCCACAAGTGAGTAACCATCCCCTGGCAACTCTACTCAAGTTATGCACCCTCTCAGTGGTGGTACGTGGTAAAGCCAACACCAGTAGAATGTCTTCCCATCTTTATGTCACCTGTGTCAGTGTATGTGCAGGAGGAAGGCATAGAATTTATAGCAAAATGCCTTTCTTTAGGATAAATGCCTGAAAATTCCAAGTCTCGGGACTGGCATGAGATCCAGGCCTTAGCCCTCAGTCTGAGTGTTCTCGCTGGAGGGCAGTTGGGGGAGGACAAGCTAGGAAAAGGCCTCAGTCTAACAGAGAACATTCACGTCCCAGGCACAGATTCCCACTAGGCTGATTTGCAGCATCCCCTGGTAGCACCTTGGGTTTGTCACTCAGGTTTTTCCATTGCTGTGTCCTCAGGGAGGCTGCAGGACAAGGCTGTGTGTCCTCTCTGCCGTGCCCAGGAAGGAGACCCAGTTGGTGGCAGCTGTGTGCACATCTCCTGCAGCTGCTCTGCGGCTTCCAGGGACCCTGAGGCCTCACTCAGCCGCTCATCCAGCTGCCCCCGGTGCCAGGACTTGCTCCCAGGGAAGAGCCACGGAAGCCGTGAGTGGCAGGAGGGCCTGCAGATGACCAGCCTGAACCCCAAGAACCTGCCACAGTGTGAGCGTCACATGAAGCAGGTGCAGCTGCTCTTCTGCGAGGACCATGGGGAGCTCATCTGCCTTATCTGCCGGCTGAGCCAGGAGCACCGGGGCCACCGGGTGCGCCCCATTGAGGAGGCTGCCCTGGAATACAAGGTGGGGCTTCCTGCATTGGGACCCTTCTCTGCTGGGTGCCTGAACACATTGGGAGGTTTCCCTGGAATGCTAGGCACTGGTGCATTAGGGAGCATCTGTGGGCTGTAAGTGGCAAACACATACAAATTGAGCTAGCAAAGAGGGATGCTGCATGTAGCTCAGAGGTCTATGGGAATCTAGCTTCAGGTATGGCTGAATCCTGAAAGATTTCTCATAAGAAATCTTTCTCACCACCTCGGCTCTGCTTCCTTTGGTGTGATGAGGTCATTTCTTCCTCTGGTTACCTCTCCCCATGCTCCTGGCTGCAGCACTCTCAGCTTTATTCCCTGTAGCAAATTTTCCCATCTAGGGTTGGCACCAACTAAAGATGGCAGGGGCCAAGTTTGAGCTTCAACAAGTGTTGTTGTTTTTTTTTTTTCCCCAGGAGCAAATTCAGAAGCAGTTGGAGCATCTGAAGGAGTTGAGAAAATCTGGAGAGGAGCAGAGATCTCAGGGGGATAAGAAAACAGTGAACTCCCTGGTAAGGTTAGGGGTGGTCTGTGGCCTGTCATTGACTGGATTCACCCTGTAGAAGGAAGCAGAGAACCAAGAGTGAGCAGGGATCCCTCAAGTCCTGTACTAGCTCACAGGGAAACAGAGCTGATCACATATTTAGAGTCACCTCCTCCTGGGGGGCAGGGAATAACAGGTGTCCAGAGATGAGCTTGTCCCTGGGGATGGAGTCCACCTCCAGCAAGAAGGGGTATCTCCCAGGACCCAGTCACACTTTCTTAGACTCACCACAAAATGGTTTAGAGAAATGGATGCTGTAAGTGAGGAATGGGATTGAGGAAAGGGGAGGAGAGACTTTCTAAATACTGCTCCAAGTTGTTTTTATAATTGCTGTTATCTTTTTTTTTTTTTACAAAAGCCATATTTATTTGTAAAATTCAAATGGTTAAAGTGAACATTTCCTTTTAAAACTGTGGTTCTGCAACACTGCAGACTCCAATAAGTACCACTTAGTAGCCTTCCTGTTAAGGTGTTGTCCAGACTCTTGGATGCTTTAGTTACTTCTGTTTTCCCTTCGTGCGAAGGTGCCTAACTAACCCACAGAGCCTTGATGATTTGTCTGATGCATTTCTGTTGGTTGGATTTCATCTCCCTGAGTCCCAAACTTGTCAGGACCCACCACACGGCAGTGAGAAACAGGCAAAGATAACAAAGGGCAGGATGAGAGGGAGGGGGGTGGCAGCTGTCCAGGTGTCTGACTTTTGGGAAACTGCTGAATGGTAGTCAAATGAAAACCCTTTCCTATAACCCCAGGCGGCTTGAACTTGTGGATGGAGCAGAGGTCAAGGGTGCTCCAGGTGGGGCAGAGGACGGTGAGGCAGGAGCCTGGGCTGCTCAGGGAAACCCGGGGAGACAAAAGTGTCCAGCCTTCCCTTCAGACGCAGTGACATAGGCCCTTATGGAAAGGAATGCTGTTTTCAGGCCTTCACCATCTCCTCCTTTTTCAAATAATGAAAAAAAATTTTTTAATCATAGGAAAGAGGGTAGGGAAAGCTCCTTTTTACAGCAGAAAGCCAGCTAAAACAAGTACAGAATAACAACTGAATTAGAAGATTTCCATTATACAGTTGACACTGACAGGGATCAGCAACAGAAGCTAAAATTTTTAGGAAAAAAATGGCAGAGAACAGCGTACTTACACACTCTCAAATACCACTCCCCAAATTACTTAATAATTATAAAGGAAATAATATATATTTACAGTAGTGACTGGTAGACCCCTCCTTAACCAATTACCAATTCTAGAATCCCTATACTGATGATGGCAAACTGGATAGTCTTTGCCTCCCAATGGGATGGGCTAGAAAGAGCATGGCCTTAGGTCTATGGCACTCTCACCCCCCACCCCATGTTTCTCCTGAATTTAATCATGAGCAAAATTATCAGAGAATTTTAGAATATAGGCCATTGAACAGGATGGTTGACCTGTCCTCTTAAAAAAAAAGGAAAGTCCACATTACTGCTATCAACAACAAAAAGTGTCCCAGATTCCATGTTTAGGAACATCACATTGGAAGCCTGAGACTGGCCACATGTCTCAAGTTAGACACATGTGGGAGTATCTACACCCACATGTTTAGTGCTTAGTTGCTCAGTCGTGTCAGACTCTGCAACCCCTGGGATTGTAGCCCACCAGGCTCCTCTATCCATGGGGATTCTCCAGGCAAGAATACTGGAGTGGGTTGCCATGCCCTCCTCCAGGGGATCTTCCTAACCCAGGGAACAAACCCAGGTCTCCTGTACTGCAGACAGATTCTCTACTGTCTAGAGGCACCAGAGAAGCCCATCTACGCCACAGAAACAGCAAATGCCACAACCCAGTCTTGGTTTTTTGTTGATAGTCTAGACTTAGACAGTGAGTGATGGGGAAAGTGACTTGTGCAGACCAGAGGCACGGGTGTGTGTCTGCGGTGCTGTGCTGTAAAGACCGGGAGAACACTCTTCCGCATTCAAAACCCAGCACGTGACTCAGCAGAGGCTGAGGGGAAGGTGTGAGGTTCCGCACACATCAAGTTCATAGTCTTACTCCTTTTTTTCTCTTTTTTTTTAGTTTTATTGAAGTATAATTGATTTACAATATTGTGTTAATTTCTGCATAGCTAAGTGATTCAGTTATACATACATGTATATATTCTTTTTCATATTCTTTTCAGTCATGGTTTATTACAGGATATTGAATATAGTTCCCTGTGCTATAAAGTTGGACCTTGTTGTTTATCCATGCTAAATGTAATAGCTTGCATCTACTAACCCCAAACTCCCAGTCCATCCCTCATCTTTCCCTCTTCTCCTTGGCAATCCCAAGTCTGTTCTCTACGTCTGTGAGTCTGTTTTGTATGTGTGTGCTCAGTTGTGTCCAACTCTTTGCAACCCCAGGGACTGCAGCCCACCAGGTTCCTCTGTCCATGGGAATTTCCAGGCAAGAATACTGGAGTGGGTTGCCATTTCCTACTCCACATAGTCTTACTCCTTAATTACAGAAAAATACCAGGCAGTGTCAGAACCACTATCACATGTCAACTAGGGGACCACAGGTGGCAGGGGAACAGGGGCCAGGAAAACATCCACAAAGTGTCCTGAGAGGCCCTGGGCTGTTTGGAATTTACACCAGAGTTCTCTTCATTGTGTCTAGCAGTTTAGCTCATAAATGAATGTGCCCATATTAAAATCAACAACAAAAGGTGCAGAGACATTTTTGGTTCAAAAGAACTTAAAGAGATTTAGTCCTGTCCTTTTGAGCCAAAAATGAGATTTCTTCTGTACAGTCTATGTGAAGGGTCCTCTCCCTCCCTGGATGAAGAAAAGTTACCCTAGAGCAACTTCAAGTGTCCACTGCAACTTTCTAGTGATGAGAAAGTCATGGGTGGCCAGTGTGCAAGAGTACTGGAAGTCAAGTTCACTTGCATCCAAATAGATGGACTGACTTGCCCCAATTCAGGGGGAGGAGAGGGGACTCTCCCTTTGGAAGGTGGGCTTCTGGGTATTCCCTGAGTGCACAGGCCCCTATATCTCCCTGACTTCTGTTCCCCAGAAACAAGCTGAAACCCAGAAGCAGAGAATCCAGTGCCAGTTGGAGCAGCTGTGCCAGTTTCTAGAGCAGCAGGAGCGGCTCTTTGTGGCCTGGCTAGAGGAACTGGGCCAGACCATCGGCCAGGTTAGGGAGACGTACGGCACCCGAGGGAAGAGGGACATCGCCCTTCTCGACGAGCTGATTGGGGAGCTGGAGGCCAAGCAGTGCCAGCCAGAGTGGGAGTTTATGAAGGTGAGCACAGCTGGGCCTGGCCTTCCTCTGTCCACTGTGCCCAGCAGGATGACAGGGGCTCCCAGTACTGCCATCTGCTCTCCCCAACCCAGTGGTGAGGCCCTTGGGGCTGGGGTGGGACTTGTCCTTGGTGATCCATAATGTCTCTTGTGCCCAGGCTTCTGCAATGCAGTATCAGGAACCCATGGTGGCCTAGAATCTAGGGGATCCCCTGGCATCTCCCACGTCAGTAGACTTTGGGTACGGTTATGGGCAGGCCCCAGCTGAGTTGCCACCTTGCTGATTAGAACTGGGGGGAGGGGCCCTGTTTTTGCTGACACTCTGGGGCAGGGAGGCCAGAAGTCATCATAGCCCTTACAACACTGGTGATGGAGAACTTCCCTCTTTTCTCTCCTAGGACATTGGAGTCACCTTGCACAGGTACCAAGAGGTCCCCTGATGATCCCTTGGCAAGGGGGTCCTGCAGGCAGCATCTGGGGAGGCAGCCCTAGGAGGGAGATGCTCCCAACCCAGGGATGTGCCTTCTCGCATCTCCTGCAGCTTCCGAAGGCCTTTCTGGATTTGTGTAGGGAGAATGGGAGCATGATCAGGAGGGGACTGCGGGACTGAAGATGGAACCCGATTAACACGCCTGTCGCGTGGTGGCGGCTTCCTAGGAACCTCCCCTAACAGCCCGTGTCCTGTGCAATTCACCTTGTGAAAACTGTTCCTGCAGGACTGCCTGCTTGCAGGCACAGGGAGAGAGGCACTTTCCAGAAGTGGATCTGCTAAGCCCAGCAGGCAGCGGTGGAGGGGGTGGGCAAGAGAAGGGGAAGGGAGGGGAGAAAGGGAAGGGGAAGGAGGCTGGAACCTACGATCACCCAGGGGGACTTCACGAGATCCTGACATTCAGGCCCTGGCTGACAAATTAAATCGAATCTTCAGGAGTATGACCCAAGCATTAATTTTTTGAAGAAATTTTTTTGGTGGTAAAATACATGTAACACAAAATCTGCCATTTTAAGCATTTAAAAATGTACAGTTCAGTGAGTACCTTCATATCATTGTACATCACAGTGTTGAACATCACCATGATACAACTCTAGAACTCTCTCATCTTCCCAAACGGAAACTCCATACTATTATACAACTTCCCAATCTCCCCTCCCCCAACCCCTGGCAACCACCATTTTACTGTCTTTATGTATTCCACTACTCTAGGTACATCATATAAGTGGAATTATGCAATATTTGTGTTCTTGTGTCTGATTTATCTCACTTAGCATATCTTCAAGGTTCATTCATGTTGTAGAATGTGCCAGAATTCCATTCTTTTTTTTTTTTTTACATTTATTTTATGGCTGGGCTGCATCCTAGATCTTAGTTCCCCAATCAGGAATCAAACCTGTGGCCCCTGCAGTGGAGTCTTAACAAGTGAATCAACCAGGGAAACCCCCCATTCCTTGTTTTAACTTTGGCTGCACTGGGTGTTTCTTGTGTGAGTTCAATTGCCCTGCAGCATGCAGGACCTTAGCTCCCCAACCAGGGATCAAGCCTCACCCTCTCCACTGGAAGCTCGGAGTGTTAACCACTGGACCGCCAGGAAAGTCCCCTGGTGTCTGTGGTTTTTGAAGCTCCCCTGGAGAGCACACCCCATGGCCAGCGTTGAGGACCAGTGTTTAGAACTTGAAGCCCAGGAAGGAAGTTTTCTTTGTGAAGTGGGTCTGGGGTGGGTGTGCCTGGTGGAAGCTGCACCTCCCTTTCAGTTCATGAGACCGTGGGCCACCCCCATGCTCCAGCCCTCTTTTGCCAATGGTCTTTTTGTCTCTAGGGCCAAGATGGTGACTGTCCCTGAGCTGTGGGCCACGCCACCAGAGGTGAAAGAGAAGATCCACCTGCTCTACCAGAAATCAGAGTTTGTTGAGAAGCGCATGAAGCACTTCTTGGGTAGGTGGGCTTGCGGGAGAATGGGAAGAGCCCCCTCACCTGCCCTCAAGAACCGTGTAGCCTGGGTCCCCTGGCGTCTCTTCTCCATCTCTCTTGTCCTTTCTGTCTTGCCTTCAGTCTCTCCCAGATCTGTCCCCATCTGGGGAACCTAACTCGAACTCCTTCTCTCCTTTTAGAGACCCTGCGCTCAGAAGTGGAAACATTCAATGGTGAGTATGGTGGTGGTAGTTTGTGCTGGCCAGGGGTCCCTTGTGATTTCTAGGCATTATTTAGAAGAGAAAAAAAAACCCACCTGTGACAAAGGTGGGAGAAAAGTCATGACAAGTCCTCATAGTCTCTGAGCTGGGGTCACTGCCAGATCACAGAATATCCAAGGCTGGCTTGGGTGCCAGGGAGGAACGGGGGCCTATGAAATCAGAGGAAGCCGGGCAGGTCCTGAGCAGGGAGGAGGGGTCCTTGTCTTTCCTTGTTGTGGGGACCAGGGTGGATGTAGTCCCTCTGACTGGGGATGCTCAGCATTGCCCCCATCTCCTTTTTCTCTATAGTTGCAGAACTGATTGGTGGTCAGGCACCCTGAGGCGAGTAGCCTTGGCCTGCCGGGCCCCTGCTCGGTCCCCCAGTGCGTTCCCGAAGAACGACCTTGTCCACGTTTCCTGGATGTGGGGAAAACCCTGTGGGGATGTTGTCCATGGACCTGAAGTCAGGAATTCTAATTCTCTCTGCAGTTAATGTGATTCTGGAAGCAGAAACTATCCACTCCAACCTCATCTTTCATCTTCTCTGATGACATGAAGAGAGTGAGCCTTTGAGAAGAAAAGTGGGACCATCTGCCTGCTAGTCCAGGAAGATTCTATAGCTGAATCGTGGTGCTGGGCTCCCTGAGCCTGCTCTCTAGCCACCATGACTGAGAAGTGAAGGTGGGAGACAAGCCAGGGTGGGTCCTGGGCATTTGCAAGGCAGCCACGAGCAGCAAGGAGAACATGACTCTGTCACCAGAGAATGGGCATTTGGTAGAAACAATGAGGCAGTAAAATGAATGCCAGGCGTGCACCTTTCTCCAGATCCAGATGGAGGAGCCCTGCTGGCATGGGGGTATCTCCCTGGACTACAAGATGGTGACATCTCCTTTTACAAAGTGACAGCCAAATCCCACATCCCTCACAGCCACTGGCTACTTTCCCCTGGGGCCCCTTCAACCTATCCTCAGCCCCAGGACACATGATGGAGAGAAGAACATGGATCCTCTGACCATCTGTCTAGTGGGGGTGGCCACGGCCTCCCTGAATACCTGACACTTTGCATCTCCCTTCAGGCTCCTGGTCTTGAATCTTGAATCCATACACTTGACAGTCATCACTGGGTTCCAGTGCTATGGGGAATAAAAAAATAGTCCCCGTGCCCAAGGAGTTTACGGGACAGAAGCAGAAGTAGGCTGGGTCACAAATACTGGTAAACCAAGAGTAAAGAGAACACACATACAGATGATACAAGGCTTTCAGAGTACATCGCTGTTGCTTAATAAATCCTTGTTAAGAATTAGCACCTAAGATGCTCCTGAGACAGAACCTACCCTCATTTTCCCTCAGGACCCTTGGCAAGGATGTGTTCCTTCATTCTACCTACCCCTGTCTTGAGACTTAGGAAGCCTGAAGAAAAACAAGCAGATTGGATCATTACAAATCACTTTTGTACTTGGATTAATGAACTGTGACTGGACCTCATAAATAAATCCCTTAGAAAATGTAGTTGTGATTGCATTTGTTGTCACTCAGTTGATTGCTGTGAGGTGCTGTTTGCATACAGAAGACCACGAGGGAGATGGGGCTGCTGTTACTATTCTTCCTGAGCTCTACTGGCAAATCTGTGGGTCTGTGGAATGTCAGGTTCTAGTTCATTCTCCATTTAAAGAGACATAAATAAATGAATAAAGAGACATAAAGAGAGAGGGGGAAGGAGAGGGACAGATTTGGAGTTTGGGGCTAGTAGATGCAAACTATTATGTTGAGAATGAATAAACAGCAAGGTCCAACTGTACAGCACAGGGAACTATATCCAGTCTCCTGGGACAGACCAAATGAAAAGAAATAAAAAAAAAAGAATGTCTGTATGTGTATAACCGAGTCACACTGCTGTATGGCAGAGATTAGCACAACATTGTAAATCAACTATACTTCAAAAGAAAAAAATTAACACATCCAAAGAATAAAATGACATATAAAGAGGAATGTAGTGCTCGCTTGGGCAGCACATATACTAAAATTGGAACGATACAGAGAAGATTAGCATGGCCCCTGCGCAAGTATGACACGCAAATTCGTGAAGCGTTCCATATTTTTTATGACAGAAACCACTGCAATGTTGTAGAGTAATTAGCCTCCAACTAATAAAAATAAATGGAAAAAAATAAATTAAAAAAAAATAAATAAAGAGGAATGTAAGAAAAAACGAGGATCAAATGAAGATTGAACCACAAACTTCTGCTACTCCAACTTCTCTTCCCATCTTCACAGTGGAGCCTAGATTCTCTGTGGTTGTGACCAGAGCACAAAACACATGCTTTCCTTTCTTCATGGAGCTTTGTTCTACATGCATAATCAACATGCTGACACAGCTCACGTGCCCTGTTTGCTCAGCTGTTCACTGTGTTTGGCATTTGTTGTTACCAATTCTCCCTTGCTATCCTTCCATGAACAGCTTGGTGTATATTTTCTGCCACCCTCCCATACACATGTTCTTCCCTCCAATTATTCCTAAAACTGTTTCAGAATGTGAACTATTTGACAACACTTGCAGGGCCATACAATCCTTCAGAAAGATTTTAAATGTTTCATGCCTGAAGCAGTGTTGATCACTTACAAAATTTTTGCTGATATGATAGAAATGTAATGAGATTTTACCTGTGTTTTATTTCATTACCTGAAATTAAGGATATAAATTTTTCCACATGAATTTCTACTTTTTTGCTTCATTCTGTCAACACACATATTTGATAAACAATCCATAATAGTAATAGTTTTAATTCAAGCCAAACTGAGGACTACAGCCTGGGAGACACAGACTTAAGAAATACTTGAATTGTGTCCCATAGAACCTCAAAATGGGGGGAGGCTCATATAGGCAAAACCTCAAAGCTACCTAAGTTGTTTGTCAAGAATTATAATTGAAGCTGGCAAGAATAAGAGTGCTTATTAAGTAAGGACTGGTTGGGGTCCAAAATGGTTGCAAAGTTACAAGGGGAGACCTTGGCCCATTAAGTTGCACCTGGCAGCTACTAGCAGATACTGTTCTGAGAATGGTTTGTGCTATCCTTGAGTTTGATACAGTTCAGAAAATCGAGGTTCTCAATGATGCAAGCACAGGTCTGAAATTAAATACAATCACTATCCTCTCTATTTTGGATGCCTGAATCACAGTTTTATATCTTGGCAGAACAAGGAACACTGGGCTTCCCTGGTGGTCCAGTGATTAAGAATTTGCCTTGGAATGCAGGGGACATGGGTTCGATCCCTGGCCAGGAAGATTCCACATGCCATGAGGCAACTAAGCCTATGCTCCACAACTACTGAGCCTGTGCTCTAGAGCCGGAGAGCTGTAACTACTGAGCCCACGGGCTGCAACTATTCAAGCCCAAGACACAGCAAGAAAAGCCACAATGAGAAGCTCAAACACTGTAACAAGAGAGTAATCCTCACTCCCAGAAATTACAGAAAAGCCCACGCACAGCAACAAATGCCCAGCATGGCCAAAAAGTAATATTAATAAAAAAACAAAAAACATCAAACATGAGAGGTTTCAAACAAGGCAGATTAGCATGCACACAACTAGTTAGCATGACCCTGGTGTCTGGGAAGAGAACCTCATCTTTTTTTTTTTTGAGAACCTCATCTTTAATGGAGTACTAGCATTGGCATTATGGGGGTGGGAGGGGAACATTTATCCCTATCCTCAAAGATGACATTTTCAACAATCTGGTAGCTGTATTCTTTTTTTTTTTTTAATGGTTAAAGTATATGTACAATGTAAGTTAGACAAGCCATAAAACAGGCTATTCTAATTAGCATAAAGTTCAAGCCAAATCATTTATAAGCAAGAATGACTTCCCCATACCTCAACATGTGAAAAACTGCTTCCATCAAGTCTATAAAAATGGTACAGTTCCTTTAACTACTTGCTATGTGGGATCCAGATGTTGAACAAGTTTTTGTAATACTTTTACATAAATATTTTAAATATTAAATATTAGTATTTGTAGTATGTAACTTTCCCTGTCAGGTGGTTTTTTAAAATTGAGATATAATTCACATACCATAAAATGCACGCTTTTAAATACACAACTAAATGGGTTTTAGTATATCCACAATGTGTGGATCAACACTAATTCCACAACATTTTCATGACCCCCCAAACAAGCCTGCACCCATTAGCAGTCACTGGTCTTTCCCCTCTGCCCTCAGGCCCTGGCTATGACTAACCTATTTTTTATCTCTACGGATTTGCCTGTTCTGGACATTTCACATAAGAATTACAACATATGGTCTTGTGTGACCAGTTTCTTTGGCTCAGCACAGTGTGTCAAAAGTTCATCCATGTTGCTGCATGTATCACTGCTTTGTCCCTTTTTTACTGTTAAATAACTGATTATATGGATATACATCTTGTTAATCTGTTCAGCAGACAAGTGGGTTGTTTCTACTTTTCAGCCAGTATGAACAATGCTATTTGTGTACAGGTTTTCGTTTCTCTTGGGTTTATACCTAGGAAAGGAATTATTTGATCCTATAGTAATTTTTGATGCTTTTGAACTGTTGTGTTGGAGAAGACTCTTGAGAGTCCCTTGGACTGCAAGGAGATCAAACCAGTCAATCCTAAAGGAAATCAGCCCTGAATATTCACTGGAAGGACTGATGGTGAAGATGAATCTCCAATAATTTGGTCACCTGATGAAAAAAACTGACTCATGAAAGAGACCCTGATGCTGGGCAAGATTGAGGGCAGGAGGAGAAGGGGATAATAGAGGATAAGATGGTTGGATGACATTATGGACTGGATGGACATGAGTTTGAGCAAGCTCTGGGAGTTGATGAAGGACAGGGAGGCCTGGCGTTCTGCAGTCCATGGGGCTGCGGAGTCGGAAATGACTGAGCAACTGAACTGAACTGATAATAATTCTATTTTGAAAGACTGCCAAACTGTGGCTAACCATCTTTTCTTTCTTTCTTTCACCACACTGTCATGTATGCAATGTCTCAGTTCCCCGACCA